TTTATTGTTTATTGAATCATGTAACAATTTAACACATTGGAAGAGTTTTTTTCTCTTGAAAATATGTTATCTTCATAAACACATATGAAACAATTGTAAAACTTTTTTCCTTGTTGAGCACATTGCTGGTGATCTCAAATTTTTTTATAAACACACAATAATTGACTTTAAAAAAATAGAATTGTAACAAAACACTTTTCTTGGATATTTGTATGTAGAATTTCGTATTTATCTCCACAAATTTTTACGTGTTCGATCTGCATTCACACATCATAAAAAAGTATCATTTGCAACTGCAGTGGAAATAAAACGTAGTCAACTGAAAACACTCCAAAATGATGAATTTGGAGTGTTTTCACAAACAATACAATACTAAACATAATGAATATTATCATTGATTATTTGAGTGTTTTCAAATCAAAGTGATTATCACGAAAAATAAATATAAAGACTGGGTTGTTCAAAATTTCATTGATTTTATTCATCAATTTTTAATTAATGATTAATCGAACTATTAAGAACCATTAGGTACCAATAAAGATGTCAATAAAAGGGAAATAAAATCAGTAAGAATTATCCACAATACACTTGAAGAGTGTTATCCAATTAAGTGGGTATAAAACTTAAAATGCCAAGAAATACAAAAAATTGAAAAGCGACATATTGATTTGTAAACAACGATAGAAGTACCACAAAGACTTGTGATTTAAATATTTCGTTTCATTAAATTTGTTTCAAAGAATTATTTACTATGTCTACTGCTCCCTGACTAAAATTTATTGTTAAAATTTGAAACGAATTTTGAGGATAGTAACATAATAACCATAAACAGAAGCGTATATTGAGTTGTATGTTCGTAAATTGGAATATAAATATCACTATGAACACATCTAAGTTATATTAAGAAAAGTTCGATACCACAAGAAACTATTTTCTTCATTAGTGATGGCGGAGTTTGTTGCTTTGAAGTATTGATTGGTATTAATAATCAGTAGTTTTTTATAAAAGACAAACAAATATAATTTGTTTTGTCTTTAGAAAAAAATCTTTGTTTTTGGAAACAAAGAAATATAAAAACAATTACAGTCTGTATTTTAACGTTATCTGGTCTCAAACATTATCTGGTGCCTTTTGGACCATAAAAAATGGAATAATTCGGGGAGCAGTCCCAAAAATCCATCCCAATTGTTTCGGGTTTTTTCACGCTTTACCTAATGCCCGATGTTTAGACAAAAATGAAGGTATTTTTTGTCCACCAGATATCGTTAAAAGACTGACTCTATAATAAGTTTTTTTAACATTATAATTTATCTAAAAATTATTATTTATAATTTATTTATAATATATAAATCATAAAATATAATAACACTCATATGGAATCGATTATATCCTTGTGATTCTTTTGTTTTTTTCTTCCCATTTCTGTTTTTTTTTGTTTTGTTTTTTTGTAAGATAAGTTAGCCCAGTTCCCACTCCATACACACGATGGTGTAACACATTAATTTTCTGGTGCTCTGCCATATTTTCTAAGCTTAACTATATCTTTTTCCACTTTGCATTGGAAACATCCTCGTATTGTTCACAGATACAATGAACTTCGGAGTGGTGGTCATGCATTTCATTATAGTCATGACATTTCACGAGGGTATTGTTTTTTTTATTTTTTGGTCGGTATTAATATTTTCGAGGCAGGCTCGACCTAATGGGTGATCTACAAGGTATAATGCCATATGATGTGTGCCGACTTATTACTCGAGTCGGCATCGAGTCTCACAAATATATTACATGGTCATTTCGACACTTATTCTGAATATAACAAACATTCAATGTTATGATGTGTTTAACATTATTTATTTGTGCTTTAAATATGGTTTCTCGTTTTTCGATTATTTTAGCTTTGTTTATATCATATATTTTTAATATAATAAACTATTTTATAATAAAAGACTATAAGCATAATATGTATTGTATTTTGGTATTTAAGGTTTCGTTGTGTTTTCATTCCAGACGGGTTGTTTTATTTTTAATTGTTGTATCATTGAACAAAATATACTTAAAAGTATAAATTTGTTATTATTTTATTTCAAAGATGTTATACAATACAGTCATGTATCTTTTGCGTTTTCTTTAAGGTAGTTTTGATTTTTTCATTTGATCTTTAAGAATTATGTATTTTAATTTTTAAAAAATTCCTTTTCCTGTCAACTTAAAATAATTGCTATTGTTTTAATTATATTATTAATAATTTTTATGTAAACTATTTTTAAAATTATTTATTTTTATTGTAGTAAATAAAATTTCTTGTTGTTGAGATTTATGTTAGTGGTTTAACATATTATAAAATATAGCAAAAATTATTAATTTAATATTATTTACTTCAAAATTTAATTTAAAAACGAAAATAAAAATCAAAAAGTAACAAATTTGTATTATAAATAAAAACATCTTGACAAACAAACTTATATTTAATAAAACAACAATATTTATTTTAAATTATTAACATTCATTGTTTTATGAACAATTTGTCAATTCAATACTAAAATAGATATACAGTCTGTCTTTTAACGTTATCTGGTCTCAAACATTATCTGGTGCCTTTTGGACCATAAAAAATGGAATAATTCGGGGAGCAGTCCCAAAAATCCATCCCAATTGTTTCGGGTTTTTTCACGCTTTACCTAATGCCCGATATTTAGACAAAAATGAATCTATTTTTTGTCCACCAGATAACGTTTGAGACCGGATAACGTTAAAAGACTGACTCTAATGAAATTTATTTATTTTTAAAAACAGATTTTCGTTATTTTGAATAACTTTGTTGTTGAATTTTTAAATAATTTAAAAAAATACATTTTATTAATTTTAGATTTAGTATTTGAAAAAAGAAATAATTTAAACTGTAATTTAAGGGTTATTATTAAAATACATTTCTTTTTGTATTATTAATAACTGCTGCTTGTTTAAAGTAAATTGAATTCGTTAATTACTTTTAAGTTGATATATTATTTTTTGATGTGTAATGTTTAGATTTAACATTATACATATTATTATTTTTTTATAATTGGTTGTTTTTATTGAATAAGTTGGTTCAAAGCGTATAATTTATCATAACTATAATTACAATTACTTTGAACTAAATGAGTCGAGTTACATAATGGAAATTACTGATATATCTGATTTGTACTCAATTATTATTACTTTAAATCAAGTTTTTAACACAATATGAATTAATAGATTAAGTAAAATAATCTGTTTGTAAGTTATCGTATTTTACTGTTTTATTACATCTGTTTCCACAATAAATAATAAACAATAAAATTTAGTAAATAATGTAAAGCACTAATGGTCTAAGGGCAGAATTTCACCCTCCCAAGGTGGAGATCCGGGTTCGAGTCCCGGTTAGTGCATTTTGTTACATCTTATCAAATTAATTTAATAATTTAATAATTTAATAATTTATCTATTCAAATTAATTTAATAGTTTAAAAATTGAAAAACAAAAATGGTGCAAATCATAACTATTAATTTTATTTAAAATAACTATTTCTTTCTTGATCTTTTTTCGTTTGATTTATTAAAAGTGTTAATACAATTTATTATAATTTACAAATTAATAAAAATTAAAAAAACAATATACAGTCAAAGGCGCCTATTTGTCGGTTTTACGACACAAAAACGAGCTTATTTGTCGGTTTTTAAAGAATTTTGTGGAACTTTCCATAATTACATTTTTGTTGTTTTAAAAATATGTTTTTTATTTTAGATTCCTTATATCTACCAATTTAAAATAAAAAGGATAAATGACATAATATTACCAAAAACAAAACAACAATTTAATATAAATATCCAGAAAACAAACACTTTACAAAAAACGTGATGTGTTTATTATAACAACTGATGTGGTTGAAGTTATTGTGATTATTTCAAAATATTGGAATGAGATAACAAAAAAAATAAGTAACTGTTTCAAACACACATTTTTTTTAAAATAGAGCTTTGCTGCAATACAATAGTTTGAATTGGATATCTACACACTTGATTTGTATTGCAGAGTATCAAAGACAGCAGAAGATAGAGTTCAAACAATAAAAGTGTTTGTTTCAACTTCGTATAAAAATGTCGATTTATTTTGCCATATCAAGAAACAAAAAAATCATATGAATAAATAACGGTTTTTATAATGCAATTAGAAAAAAATGTTTAATAATTCATATTGCTTTGTTGACTGGAACAAATTAGATAATTTTTACAATTAATTATTAAATCTTCTAAGAACGGGTAGAAGCCATTTTAATTAATTATTTGGTTAAAGTTCAAGTTTCCAGAATAAAAAACCTATTTGTCGGTTTTGCATTTTAATTGGTCATTTAACCTACAAATAGATAAAACCAACAAATAGAGAAACCGACAAATTAGCGCCTTTGACTGTAAATAAAATTCATAGAAATTATTTAAAGTGCTGGGCAACAGATCTGAAGTGAATACCGCTGTAAACATTTTATTAAATGAGAGTTGCTCCCCATTCAATGACATACTTTCCTTGTGGTCTTTTAACACTTTCGACTTCTTGCACACTTAAGTACTCGTTTCTTTCTTGGCACTCACCAAACCCAACAAAGACTCTCATCACGTTGTCGAATCCTTTCACGTTCAGTGGAACCAACTTTTCGTATTGTTTTCTGTCAACTATTCTGACAAACATCTTTTGGAACTTTTTCATCTCCTTCAACCAAAACACAACAAAGTCGTTTCTTTCTTTCACGTTCAGTCCAAGCTTTCCCAGCAATTTGTCGACATCACTCAGATCATTTACTTTAACATCAACTCCTTCTAATTTGACATCAAAGAGACTTTCCCACAAGAGATATTCAAATTCACCATTTTTAATTGTTAAGACACAGGGTTCTGTCCCTCTTCCCAAATATCTTCCCATCCATTTTAATGTGTTTTCTGTTGTTTCTGTCTTTGGTTAGACTTCGGTGACTTCCATTCCTTCAATTTTAAGTGAGACTTTTAACTCGCCTTTGTGCCATTTTCGTCGTACAGCAAAATGACGGGTTTTCCTCCAAAATATCTTCCTGCAAAGCCACTTCGTTTGGCAGTGATTGTCTTTTGAATGATTCGACTAATGCTTTCTTGTCGATGTCACCAATTGCAAAGTGGAGACACCTTCCATGGAACATCTCTTCGATTTTTGGATTGTAATGGTTGTAACGTTTGTCAGTGTTATAATAGACAAGTGCAACCAAATTCTGCACCAAATAATGCAAAAATTCAAATTCTCCAAAGTAATAATCATCTGTTTCTTCAAGTGCGGGTATAATATAATGGACGTGTTTAACGAGATAATTAGTGTCGAATTCATTTGAGGTGCTATCGACAAGCACAACATAGATGTTATAATCGGATTTATTATATCCATTTGGTGGATAATACTCTAGAGGTGGTGGTAGGTTTACCTTACTCCCTGCCACTATAATATCCTCTTTAATACCATTAACAATAATATCAGTGGTATAAACAGACTCAGTGGCTGTTTCTTTGAGTGCCTTTTTGTTTGGTACTCTTTTGAGCGCTTGAAGTCCAGCTAACCCCTGAAAAATAATCTTCATCTGTTGTGTTGCAAGACGCTCTTTGACTGACATACTTCTGATTGGTTTAAAGTTTATCGGTCTACCTTTTGATGGTGTTTCTCCCATAGAATTGTATTATAAAATTAAACAGACTATTGTATAGACAAACTTTACCGTTTAGATGTTTTAAAAGACATTAAAGTGTTCTTCCCGTTTTGTGTATTAATTTCTTTGTTTAATATTTTATTATTTAACATTTTCTGTATTTTGCCGAATTTATTACAACAATTAAAAATTTAATTATTAAATTAGATTTTTAAATACTGGTTATAAATAAAAATCGTTTTTTGGTTGTTACTTTTTGCTTTTTATTTGAGTTTTTATATATTTTTGTTACAAAACAATTCTTTCATATTTAACAGAATTGTGAGTTGGATTTAAATTTGTGTAAACATCAAAAATTATTGAAAACATTATAACTTGTCTTTTTCTTTATATGTGCTTCAAGTTTATACCAAACATCGTATAAAATTTTTATCGACCTTTGTTTTTTAATTTTGAAATATCGTTAAAAGTGATACAATAATTTTAAAACCAATTTCAAGCACAACATATTATAAAAGTAAATGTAATAATTAATTAAACAGACTTTTTATATGTATTATATTTCAAGTTCAAGTAACCATTGTTTTTTTGTTATTGATCAACTGTATTATATTTTAATATATTGTGTGATTATTTACAAGTAAAATGATAAATATGTGCTAAGTTCAAACAATATAGTTCAAAAATATTCTAATTATGAATGGTAGTTTAACCATGAACATTTTAAACATACAATGGTCAATTTCAAGTACTTAGTATAACCAAATAATTTGTCATTGTTTTTAATAACAAAGGGTTTAAATACCTGTAATTATATTAAACCAATTAAAAATTTGAATAATTGTTATTATTAACTTTTTTAATATAAGTATTGATTATCACAATGAAAGTAGTTATAAGTACAACATATTAAATAATATCGTGTTCTG